GCGCGTCTTCTCAGCTAGGGCCTTCCAGTGAAAGGAGGCAATCACAGCAGAAAGAAAGCGAATTAGCTGTGACAGCCCCAAATACGAACATATGTCATCATTCAATAAACTCAGAAAGGAAAGGCACCACAGGTGCCCCAGCATGGTAATGATGGTAGGGGGTGGTTTTGTAGTGGTGGTGGTGGGGGGGAGGGGGGTGGTTTATCCCACACGTTTCAGTGCAGAGCATTCACAACCCCCTGCACCTGAAAGTCAAGGAGATGGGGATGAAAGCATTCCGCAGGCTGTACCTTCTGAGGTTCCGTGGCTGTATCGCATCGGATAATGAAGGGCACCGAGAGTTCATGGAGCTCATTGCCACCTGCACCGAAGCAGTTGTAAAGATAAAGACCAGAAAGATCTTGCACACAGCAGAATGAGGAAGACCTGTCACGCAGGATGCTCCTCACCAGGTAGAGGGGGCTGCAGGGCAAAACATCAGCAACCCAATAAGGGACCAGGCGCAGCTTGACCAAGTGAAGGGAAAACCAACGTCTCATTCCAGATATTTTTCCACTCAGGAGCTCTTCCATGCAAGAGAGTCTCCCAGCAGCTGAACTTGTCTTGTTGGAGTTAAGGGGAAGGAGAAGGAATCGTCAAAACCAAGGGAACCTGAGACATGAAAGCCCCTCTTTAAAATTGATCTCGCTAGCTGTTTTTACAGTCAGCAACCATCTCCCCACAGCCCCCATGAAACTTCTCTATCAGATCTATGTAAATATTAGGTGTTAATCATCTTCTCTAGAATGTTCCGAACATTTGCTTCATTTACATTCTACGCCTCCGTACCGTTATTTTTGTCCTTTGTCTTAATTACAAAATTATTTCTAACCAAACACTGATTGATTAAATCTTCCCTCCACAGCCTACAGTCACTTAAAAACTAAGATAAACTTAGGTCTTTTCTCCTGTTCTATTCAACTCACTGATTTTCTAATGTATGTGTCCCGGCCCTGCTCCTCAGTTTTCCAGTTTCTGCCAGTTTAATTACCATATAACCATCCTGTGTGTGGCAACCCACACGGGCTTCTTTAACCCCCCTGCCCAAACCTGCCACCTTCACTGCCCAGAAAGCCAAGAGCAGTAGGTACCTCTCTGAGCTCCTGCCAATGATATAATTACACTTCAAGGACTGGGATAACTGACAAATACAAGGCACAAGTCAGACATTTGATAGAATATTCCCCATTTGCCTGAATGAATGCAGCTCCAGTTACACCATCCAAGACAAAGCAACCTATTTGATTGGCACCACATCCACAAACATTCGCTCCTTCCACCACCGACACTCAGTAGCAGCTGTGTGTACTATCTACAAGATGCACTGCAGAAATTCACCAAAGATTCTTAGACAGCACCTTCCAACCCATGACCAATTCCATCTAGAAGGACAAGGGCAGCAGATACATAGGAATACCAATCCCTGCAAGTTCCCCTTCAAGCCACTCGCCATTCTGACTTGGAAATATATCATCATTCCTTCAGCATTGCTGGGTCAAAATCCTGGAATTCCTTACCTAGGTTTACCAACAGCACATAGCCTGCAGCAGGTCAAGAAGGCAGCTCACTACCACCTTCTCAAGGGGAAACTAGGGATGGGCAATAAACGCTGGAACCAGCCAGCAATGCATCACACCCCATGAATGAAGAATAAAGAAAGTCATCTGGCTTGTTCGTCATTCTCCTGATGACCATGAACCTTTATCTGTATCTTTGTCAATGACTCCACATTGATCCCTTGAACTGCTCCCTAACCTGAACTATAATTCCTCCAGAACACTAGAGCCCACATCCTATTCCACTAAGTCCCACTCTCTATCCTTCTCCTGTTCTCAACAACTTCCATCCTCAATCCATCACATTTAATACTGTAATTTGGTAGCATTGGACATGAATATTTGAGGTTTTCTGTCTTGCTGTCTTCAGGATAATTTTCAAGAATACCAATAAACAGGAAAACCGACTTTTGTACTCTATGGCAGGAGAGTGATAATTGGTTGGTAAGTGGAATCTGATTGGTTGAGGTGTTACCATGGAAAATGCAACAGTAATGATTGACAGTTAACTGCCAGGCTTTGTTTAGATTTTAAACTAGGCAAGTTGACTCTGATTGGTCAAGGCATTGATTTAAGAAATGAATCAGTGAATGGTTGTCACCTATTTTGTTAAATTGAAATGAGCTCAGTGCAAATACAGGTTTTTCTTGTCTGCAGGATCAGGGCCCTGTGTACTAATATGTAGCATCTAAATCGCCAGGGTGCCTTACAGTGAATCCTACTAACAATCCTAAATTGGTTGTCAGCATTAGTCTTCATACACTCTTATTTCACAAGTGTTGTCTAATCGCAGAACCATATTGAATATTGGACATGGTGCTTTGAGTTTTGCGAGCAAGGGTTGGTTGGGTACATTTAGTACCTTGCCTGTTGTGAACATCCAAAGGGATACACTGGGTTGTGCACGTACAAAACAGCACAACATTTGACACGAGGACTTTATTGAAAAAGGAGCTTAAGACGTTGGCCTACAGTGTGTGCATGTTTCATGGTAGAGGTCAAATGACTGCAGCAAAGCAAAAAGGATATTTTTCAAGGAACGCAACTTCCCCCCCTCAATGGTCGAGAATGCCCTCGACCGTGTCTCCCGCATTTCCCGCAACTCATCCCTCACACCCCCTCCCCCCAA